AATCGCAGCGCCATGAGTGTGCTTCTGTGTAGCGGGATCGGGTGCGACGGCTGCCTAAATGAGTAAGCCCCCGTCCCGCGTCCCGCCCGGGGGGTGCAGCAGGAGGTGCAGGAGGAGGTCGACGCACTCCGGGAGACAGGACCGACGACATGCCGCAGGTGCAGCAGGCCGCTCGCGGAGCGACAGCGGGGAAACTTATTCGGGCGGTTCACAAGTAGTGGAAAGACTACTGGGCGTAGGGGCGCCACACTACGGGCACACGGGAGGAAATGGGAGTTACCACTTTTATTCACTCCAATTTCGTCGAGCTAGTAAATCATGTCCTGGAATTATTTCGGTAAATACTTCTAAGCAGAATGTCGTATTACCCTTTTTAGGCACGTTTATTTTGATAAGCGTTCTTGATTTATAATCTTTATCGACTGAACAAAAATCTCAGCGTGAACGTTTTCAGGTGTTGAAAATGATTCTGATTAATTTCCCTATCTACTCGTATGAACCTCTTGACTAATCAGATAAAATCGGCAGACTGTGGAGGAGTGTTTTTACCGAGGACAGAGACTGAGTCTCATGAATAATAATAATAGTAGTATTCATCGTCGTAAACAAAACGATCACGATACGAAAGACTTTCCGGCTGTAGAATAACTCTGTGAAAATATCAACCCCTATAGATTGGCGGATGGGATGAGCGCATCTCCATATACTAATCGACCGTGGTGCGAACGTTAAGTGGTACTTCTTGTTCCTTGTTATTTCTAAGTGATGACGACTAACTAGTCGATATGTCTCTGCTTTCTCGTACCTTACGCGCGCATACATCCCCGCGCATAGCGGCTGATTTGTGTGCGACGATATGTAAAACGGTGCGTCACAACAACACAGACAGAGATACAGATAGATTGAACGAGAAGAGGAAATTGCTTTTCCTTATCTGGCATTTTATTATGTAGCCAATTAAAACAAATGCTTCTATTTGTAGGCACTCTTGACCTCGACAGATTTCCTATACAATGTATATTGTCCCATAAGGCCCCGTTACATTTATGATTTAGTTACTGTACCGCATACACGCGTGTGGGCGGGCTGCCTACCCAGTCGGGGCCAGAAAGCGCCACCTGACACCCTGTGGTTTTAGGTTAGAGACTGATTAGGCGCCAGTCTTTCTACCGTTGAAATAATATATCAACCATTTTTTTTCCAAGCAAAGCTTGAGACACGTCTTTGAGTGAAAACCAGAGATAGAAAGACAGGCTATTAAATAAGCGGACTTTTTTTTCTATACACCTAGCCTACTGTATTCTTGGGCTGTTTTATCCCGGTTTCGAGACC